GAATGCAATCAGAAAAATCTTCTCCACCTCTTAACCTAATTTTTTAATGGGCAAGATTGTTACTTGGGTGTATCTATTCATCTTCTAACCTGTTTAATAATACAAGTGACACCAAAGAAATTATTCTTTGGTCTTTCAATAAACTCAGCCTGTGCAGACAAAGAAAGGCGAAGGAGGTTAAACAGGCATTGATTACTTAAGGCACATTTTTCATTTATTTAATAATCTCCCTCAGCTCAAGAAGTATCATGGTCACAGGCCCATCTGCCATACCAAACTTATTCTTTAAAAGTTCTTGCTAGGTGCAGCAGAAATCGGAGCACAGTGTGCACTAATGGCTTCCAGACTCCTGCCCAGTTTGTCCCAGGAGACAAATAACTTATAATTACACAAGTCTCTGCACTTACTCACCATAATGGATATTAATAGAGCTAACCGTGATCATTGTCTTCTATAGAGCCTAAAACTGCTATTTTATGTAAAATGTGCAACAGGTAACTTTCCCCAAAATGATATTCACATCCCTGAAATAAGAGCCTGAATAACTGGCAAAGATGTCTGTCTATTTGTGACTAAAATTGACAGCTCTAGAAAAAAGACAAGGGCATATAAAAACTACTGCTAATATGTTACATTTCTACATTTTAATTTTTTCTGATAAATGGTACTTGAAAATTCTAAATAATATATGCATGTTTATACTTTGTGAAAACTAAAATATAAAAATATATTTTCTGAAAAATATATGAACAAAATATAAAGAATAATACATAATTCTTATTCACATGAAAATATCAGATTATACATACATAAATTTGAAAAGTATAACAAATGTCTGATGGTCAATGGAGAAATTATAATTAGAGATGAATCACACACTCCAAAATAGTACGTCATTTAGCATTTTAAAAAGTTTTAGATATTTCTAACTTATTCATTTAAAACATTTCCCTGCCCAGTTTTTCACATTAAAAGTGCCCTAAATTTTATAACCACACTTACATACAGTTATCTTCACAAGTATCTATATTCATATTTAGACAATATTTTGCTTATTCTGGTTATGTCATAGAAGAGATAACTAGGAAATGTGAAAGATGAAATACTTCGAGCACGCTGATATTATGTGTGAACAACTACCCAAATCATAACAACCCTGGTGTAAGGGGACGCTTGATGGACTCACTAACAAGCGTTATCCCTCAACTGGAGTACCATTATCACACATAATGCCATGTTGGGAACAATGAAGATCAGGCTTATGCTTTCTGAAATTTTTATTTACAGGCTTAGAAAGTAAAATAACATTGATATAAGAAAGTTTGTAGATATAATATTGAGAAAATTGAGAGGAAAGATGAGAAAATTCACAAGAGGCTGCTACTAGGTATGTGCTAATGTCGGCCTTGTCACAGCTTATTTTCCAAATGTGCTATTGATTCCTTGATAAGCATTTCTTACAAGTGGTCACTGACAGCACTACAAAAAGACAACAGTGCTAGACAAAGTTCTTGCATTTCATATTTATGTTCAAGTTAGAAATTAGTCTCCCAAACATTATTTCCAAAAATGGCAAATGTAATATTTGCATCTAAATGCATGCTTTTTTTTTTTTTGTTTATTCCTTGTGTTAAGAATACATTTTTTTTTTTTTTTTGGGTCAGAGATATAGATCAGTGGTATAGTGAGTGCCTGGCAATTGCAAGGTTGTGAGTTCAATTCTGATACAAGAAAAAAAATTAAGAAAAATCTGGACAGCCACAAATACTACTGGATATTGCACAGATGATGTCACCTTTATGGAACTGATTGAATTTATTTCAAACCCTGAAGCTTTGAACTAGTGAATCCTATGATAACTTCTACCACATGTGCATGTGTGACAGTGTTGGTGTACAGTATGGTTTTAATTAGGGTCTTTTCATTCTTATTGAAAAAGCTCTGACTCATAGATCTGCAAATAAATTGGTTATCATTAATGAAATGCACACTGAATGTATATCCTAGGGGCTAACATAAAAATGCTTGAAAATTTTAATAAAAAATCTTCAGAAAAAGATAAATACTGGATTACCTGTGATATATGCTCCTTGTATTTTATCGAAATATTTTTGTTTAAGAGAAATATCACCATTATTTAAATAATGTAGAACACTGAAAGTCATTAAGTACAATGGTCACAGATTGATGTCTAGATGACTTACATATGTAGAATAGGCATATTTAAATGAAAGTGATAGGAAAATTCAAAAGAACCAGGCTTTGTTCTTTTTTTCAGGCTTTTTTTTTTTCAAATTTAAAAAAGTAAATAAACATCTGAAAATAATTGTAGCTAAGATTCACATCTTTGGTTTATTGCCTAAGAGATAATTTTATATTAAATGTATTAGCAGTTTGAATGGCAACATAAAATATAACACCTACTTTTATATTATTTAATACAAGGAAGACATGCCTACAGATAAACATACTTTTATATACTAGAGTATATTTTCATAAAATTTAATTATCTCTCTTATCAACAAGGTATTAAAATAATAATAATGAATGTCTTGAGGTAGAAGGAAGATCCTCACAGTGCTAGATGCAAAATAAAGATAATTGCTCTATTTTTCATGAAAAAGAAGTTTAAGTCATGAACTCGGCCAAAAGCAAATTTCATACCTTGGTTTAAGAAAGTTTTTGAGCCATGCAGTAGAAGATCAATATTGAATTAAAAGATGTTTTGCAATCCTATTTTGGCAGCTTAGCAAGTATTTCACACTAAGAAATAATACCAACTTTGAATGTAATTACTTTCTGTTGCCTGCGCTGAAGCCTAGTATCTACAATATTATGATGAATTTCTTTGCAGTTACAAGCCTTTGCATGTGGCTGCATGTAAACAATGTATGTGGCCACTGTGCCTGCACATATGCCATCAATTATTAAGAAATAAATTAGTATTTTCTTAAAATGAATTACTCCCATGTTCTAATAGATATCTACCATATGACTGCAAATTCATTAACTCAAAATAGTTATTAGAAATGTTGGCTTTAAAAAGCTTCCTAAGATCACTGTACTGGTTGCTACCTCCCATCTTCTTCATTCTGGAAGGTATCTTGGAATTGCTCCAGGGCAAAAGACGAATGCGGCCCTACTACGTCCTATTAAGTCAACGCACAGACACAGGAATAGCGGAGGAAAATACCTATGGAGGTCTAAGTATAAAAAAAGATAAATATCGTTTTCATAGCTACTTACATCATAGCCCAGAAGTTCTGTCTGTGTGGATTTATCTACTCTTGAAGCAAAAGCCTTCTGTAAATGCTGGACTTTTTCCTGAAAAATGAAAAAAAGTCACACTATTGGTGAGTAATGAGTTTCTACTTGCTTAGTGTACAGTTCATGATTTTTCTCAGTGTTTATGCTTTGTTCTGAGGGTGCTTCTAAAATCAACCCAAATATTCACAGTTTAATTTACAGGTACGTTAGACATCTCTTCTACTGTAAGATTCACTGTCAGGTACACTGTTGAGAGCTGAGAAATCCTGGCTACTTAAAGCCAAAGCCAAATGCTTAT